TATTAAATGAATATAAATTCCATAGTCTAATTATTTTCTGCTTCGTTTGTTATTTTTGTAGATCAAACTACTAAAATGGCTAAGAATCAAATTGCGAGTATCCTTGATCATAATAAATTAACTGATCCCAACTTCAATGATTGGTTGAGGAACCTAAAGATTGTTCTTCAGTCTGAGAAGCGAGAGTATGTTTTGGAAACAGCTCCTCCTCCTCCACCGGAGGATCAGACTGCTGAAGAGTATGGAGCCTACTTGCATCATGTTGATGACAATCTCCAAGCTTGGTGCTACATGCTAGCATCAATGTCTAATGAGCTACAGAGACAGAACGAATTACTGAATAATGCTTCTGAAATCCTAACTCACCTGCAAGAGTTGTATGGTGATCGGACGCGACAAATTAGATATCAGATATCTAAAGAGCTTTTCAGGTGTCGTATGACCGAGATATCTAAAGAGCTTTTCAGGTGTCGTATGACCGAGGGCTCTTCAGTTCATGATCATGGACTGAAGATGATAGCTCTTGTGGAAAGACTCGAATCACTTGGAGTCATTATGGATAATGAACTCTATGTGGATTTATTGTTGCAATCTCTGCCAGCGTCATTAGATAACTTTGTCGTTAACTACAACATGCATAATATGGAAACTGATCTTCCAGGATTATTAAACATGTTGAAGACGGCTGAGTCCACCATTAAAAAGGACAAGCCGGTACTTTTTGTTGGATCCACTTCCGGATCAAAGGCTACTAAGTCTAAGAAAAGGAAGGGGAAAGGAAAGGTTCCCAATAAGCCCAACAAGAAGGCATATAATGATAAAGGGAAGAACAAACAGAAGGTTAATTCTCAGGCCGATCATGAATGTTTTCATTGTGGTAAAACTGGGCACTGGAAGAGGAACTGTAAGGAGTATCTTGCTAGCCTGAAAAGTTCAGGTATTTATTTTGTTGAAGTTAACTTGTCTGTTAACGATTCTTCTTGGGTATTGGATACCGGCTGTGGCTCACATATTTGCAATGATTTGCAGATGATGGCAAGAAGTAATATGCTAGATGGTAAAGAAACAATCCTAA